GGGGGGGGGGGGGGGGGGGGGGCGGCTACCAACCATCGACGAGATATTTACCTCAAATCAGTTGAAAGCATTCCGAGAGTTGCAAAAAGCAGTGTGTTATATAACAATACTGCATTATTATTGTCACTTTAGCATTCTATCCCATATTTACATCTGATATTTCATAAACAAACTTATTTCCCAATCTTACAACGTTGTATCTTACAATTCCCCCTTGTATTAGTAGCTGCTTCCGTGTACTATCGATCCAGTATTTGGTGGGCATTATGTTGTGTATCTATCAGGGGAATTAGGTGGGTAGTGGTGGTGTGGGTGGCTAATATTCTATGATAAGTCCTCCCGTAGGGGCTCTATGGGGAATTCCCTTTCTTCGCTTGGCAGCAGGAGGCGGCGTTGACAGACTGAAGCTAACAACACCATTCAGCCGCCCGTACGAGTCTTCGGAGTCTGATGAGGCCATTGCAACCCCTTTCTTCGTCTTCGATGTCCCAACCATCTGAAATCAGAAATCACAAATTTAAAACTCGAAAACACAATTTCAGAGTTCCACAAATTGGATCTCTTAATGATCTTGAATTCCCACTAATTCATATTTTAAACTTATGAAAGATAAATCGAATTCCTTAATCTTCACAAGACTCAAAACCGAATATAACATGAATAGTGCACCTCATTTAATACCGATTTATTAACATTAACAATTGTCAAACAAATTCAATTCATCATTGACATTTGCACAAACAGTTATTTGATCGTATACGGGCCAATCCATTGGTACCTTGCAACCAAGAGAGCAGAATCTGAAGGAGTCGAGAAGGCTCCGTTCGCAGACTTCGCAAGAGTTCGTTACGCCTTTACCGGGCCTTGGCTGTGGCCTCTCATTCAGGAAGACAACCTTCGCGCTGTTGATTACGTATGTTTGAACAGAGCTTATGTCTAGATACTTCTGAATTTCGGAAACTCTGATAACATCATGGTATGAGGACCTCCTTATCTGTATTTAAAAAAAAATAAAAAAAAATTGATGAATTTGATTAACAATGTAAGATGAATCATTGGGAAATAAATGCCATTTTACAAGTCAACGCAGTGATGGAAAATACTCATAATTTGATTTGAGAGAGAAATATTGATTCAAAAGGGAAATTTATAGGTACACGAAAGGGTTTGATGCTGAAAAAAACAGAGGATTTTTTAGAACAAATCTCCATTTTAAAAAGGAAAAGAGAAGAAAAAAGGTTAATGAAAATAGACCTGAATTCCACGATGATCCTTGTGATAAGCCAAACAGAGTGAACAGAGAGGGCCATTCATGCAGTCCAAGCAGTACATATTGCATTCACTTTTGTGGGAATCAGCGTGAAACTTGCACTGAACAAAGAAACGTTCCTTCAACAAAGGTTTCAGCCATGGCGGCCACCTGTTGTCCTCCTCATTAGGCCCTCCAGCCCCCTATGAACAAAGGAAAACCCAACAAAAATGTGCATAAACAAACCAAAAAAGGTTATAAATAATATCTGAGAAAAGCAGAGGAGTCCACTAAAGGGAAACCAATAAAAATGTGGAAAAACAAACCCAAAAACTCGAATTTCTACTAAGAACTAGTACCGAGATTCGTCTATTCTTGGGCTTGATTTCACGGACACCGGATTCTTGATTATCAATCGCCAGCTTTACTGATTTAAACGAAACAAAGTACACAAAATGCTTTCCAAGGCAGTTTTTTGTGGGTTTTTCTTGGCAAGAACACTAGCTTATAAGGAAGAGAAATTGAAAAGTTTTACTGTGGGAACTTTGAGAAAGTGGAAGCGGTGAGAGAGAGTAGTAGAGCGATGGATTTTCGGGTGGAGTGGGTCGGGGTCGTTCTCATCCTTTCAAAGTCATACAAAAACAAAAGGCCGAACCTAGCTCCGAAGCAGACCCTAAAGATACGTTAGATGCAAGGAACGGACCTCCATCTCTCCTTTTACTTTTGAATTCCTGCTCTTTCTTCCGTTTCATTTTCATGTGTTAAATATTCTTGCTTCAGTTTTATTAACTTATAATATTTTATTCTTTATTGGCCTAAGATATATTATTGATGCCTTCTATTTGTAGATTAAGAGGTGTTTGACACCTATTTTTATGAGAAAATGAATTTTAAAATAATAGATTGATGAAAAATATATGAATGGAAAATAAGGAAAAAAAAATTATTTACATATAATATTATTTTAATAAAAAATATGTGGCTAAAAAGAAGAGAAAAAAAACGTATTTTGATAAAAATGAAAAAAATATATATTTTGATAAAAATGAAAATCAAACGGGCCTTAACAATTCTCCATTTGGTAATTAACATTTTCTTTAGGGAAAATTTAAAATTAATTATCATGCATTCCAAAATTAAGAAAACAAGTTTCAAACTTAAAAAATCAAAATTTTTACTAAAATTTATTTATTTATTAATTAAATATATTTAGGTCACATATCTATACAGTTTGATCAAAATTAATGATTTATTTAGTCATTTATTATTTTTTGATCACAAATTAGAAATTTTATATCACAAATTATTTTACGATCACAATTCAAAAATTTTATATGTCACAGTTTATTCGTCATTCACAAATAAAAAACTTAATTAGTCACGGATTAATTTTTAATCACAACTTATCAATTTATTGGTCACAACTTATTTTTCAATCACAAATAAACAATTTTATAGATCACATTATTTTTGGATCACAAATCTAAAATTTCATTGGTCACAGAATCAAAATTTTTATTGGTCACAACTCATTTACTCATTACAAATTATTAAATTATTTGGTCACTGATGTTACTAAATTGGATATCCCGAGGACGTTATACCTCGAAGACTTCCATAAGCTTAATCTTTACATTCTGGTTGTGGAGTCCTCGGGGCTTTGTTGCCCTCGGGGGTTTGTTGTCCTCTAGATACATACTTTGAGGACTTGACACTCACCCCATGGGTTACGTCCATTAGAGTCCTCGAGACATGGTCCTCGGTTCAAGGCTCTCAGGGACATTCTCAAGGGGCATATGATTTCCCAACAAAAGTCTCACCTCCTAAGGGACTACCTCAACTATCTTACCTCAAACGTGATTGCTCTTGTGATTATAATTCTAATAGGATTCTATTGGAAAACAATATCCCGCTTATTCAATCCCATTAGGAATGTATTACTTATCTCTATAAATACAAATCATCGAAACATCATTCAGGTATGTTCTTTATTATTTTCAATTTATAGCCTCACACACAAATTCCTTTTCTGATTTAAGCATCGGAGGGGCGACGAGAACATACCTCGTTGCCTTTGTTTCAGGTTTCGAAAGACTACGATTGTGCTCATTCAAAGTCCTCAAACTTGGGAAATCAGCAAGTGCGGATTTTTGGTAGCATCATTGGTACCGTCTGTGGGAAGGGCTACCAAAAGTCATGGTTAACACACGATCAAGTCTTTCTCTGGCAAGCTCATCCGTTCCCAACCCTTATCCTCTTGAAGGTCAACTTGTTCCTCAAGAAGAGTCGTTAGAAATA